GCGATCTGAGGGAATCACCGACACGTCGCCGACGCCCGCAAAATATTTGGCATGCAAAATATCTGGAGCTGTCGGCGATTCACAATCATGCTGTGTCAGAGAAGCAGCCAGAGACTCACCGCGCCTTCAAAAAAATCCAACTGAAGTGCGTGGACCAAAAAAGGTTACCCAAAGATGAAGAGCTTGAAAAGAGTCCGCACATTCAAACATTAAAGCATCACAAGCGAGATGAGAACGATATATGCAATTTACTGAATAAAACAAGGCAAACGTTTCGGTCACATGTTGACCATTTTCAATGCCAAGCTAACAGTGTTAGAACTAGAAGCCATCTTAATTTAAGGAATCACATGATAATTAAAGAGATCACATGATCAATCAGGACACACACAGAGAGAAAAAAAAAAAAAGGCCACAATGTGTGTATATGTAGAGCAATGGATAATTTACATCAAATTAGAGAACAATGGTTGTCTGTTGGAGTTAACAAAAGTACTGTTCATAAAAAACAAGACAATTGAAGTTCTTCATTTAATCCCTTCGGATATACACAGTCCATATAATAGATCCACTTAGCTTCACATTGTAACAGTCTTTTGTTAGAATCACCACCTCTTCTTGAACTGATCAATCTCTGAATACCTGTAAATCTCATATCACTAAGTTTATGGTCAGCATCCACAAAATGTCTGGCTACAGGAGAATGAATGTCCATCCTTCTAATAGAGCTCCTGTGCTCGTTGATACGGGTCTTTAATTGACGATTAGTCTTGCCAATATACTGTAGACCACATGGGCATGAAATAAGATAAATAACAAAAGACGATGAACAAGTGATAGTCTCTCTAATTTTGAATGTTTTCTGAGTGGTGGTGCTAGTGAAAGAATCCGTTTTAATTGCATTTTCACAAGCTGAACAAATCCTGCATGGGAAGAAGCCAGTGGAATGATCCAAAGTCACATATTTGTTCTCCTTAATGAAGGTATCCGAACTGACTAAATTATCTCTTATGTTACGTCCCCTATAATATGAAAAAAGGGGAGGCTCCTTGAAGATTCTGTATCCGATATCATCAGCTCTCAGAACATGCCAGTGTTTATTGATGATAGACTTTAATGTCTGACTATGAACAGTGAAAGTTGTACAACACATATAAGGAGGTCTTTGAGATGTCTTGGATTTTGATTTAACTGGTGTAGATTTTACCTTTTCAATTGCTTGCTTAAGCCATTTATCAGGATATCCTCTAAGAAGAAACTGTTCGTACATCTTATCGCATTCCACCTCAAAATCATCAGTGTTTGTGCAAATCCTCTTGATTCGAAGAAATTGACTGTAAGGGAGACCTTTCTTCAGAGGAATGTGATGGAAGCTTTTGGCATGAAGAATACTATTCCGATCCGTAGGTTTTCTATACAGAGTTGTAAATAAAGTATGGTCATCAACACAAACATAAGTATCCAAGAAACTGATCTTGTTCAAACTTGTTTCCATATTAAATTTGATTGTTGGAATAAGGTTGTTTAAAAGATCAACAAAACGGTCCAAATCATCATCATCTCCTGTCCAAATTAGAAAAATGTCATCAATGTAACGTTTATAAAAAATAAGATAAGGCAAAAAAGGATTATTTTTGTAGATGTATTCCTGCTCCAAAAATGACATGAAACAGCATGCATAATCTGGTGCAAAAGTCGCTCCC